TGTTTATAGCATCTTACCGACTTCAGTTTTATCGTCGTATTTCGTAGATTCTACAGGTTTTCATACCGCATTATATCTGCCGCAGACCGCTTTGAAGGTTGAAATAGTCCAGCTTTTAATATGTAGTTGCTTCTACATTTTCTAACCTAAACTAAAGCTTATAACTCTAAAGACACTAAGATCTCAGTAACTATACTGAGTTCTAAGATCTCAGTAACTATACTGAGATCTTAGAACTTATATCTCAAGGTGGGTGGCGCATTTACGTCGTAGATGTCCATGGGCTCCAGTAACCACTTAACATCCGGTGTGCTGTGAGCTCGTCCACCCATCTACACAATAATAAAAAAAACACACAATAATAAAAAACGTTAGTTAAAATGTTATTGCCAGCTCTCAACTTTTTAATCTATATGTTGCCATGTTAATTGAAATCGCGTTTTCTAGTTTCGATGGAACTCTACGTATGAAGCTATACACGTAAGACATCTAAGCATAAAAAAAAAAGACATTTAAAATCATTAATTTTCTTGATTAATATCGAATTTGAAAGGTACATGACTAAGATTACTAGGGTCTTTTTTATTGCTCTAAAAGACAGACAATTCGTATGTTGTCGAGTCATTAAAACACAGTATTAATGTTTTTATTTAATTGCTTATACCTGTGATCGAGCTCACAGTAAAGCTGGTGTGAAGCGGTTACCGGAGTCCGTGACGCACGACGTGAATGTCGCCACTTAGTTTGTTACTTTTAAAAGAGGGGGGGGGGGNTTCGCCGGTCGCTTCGCCGGTCGCCGGTGCGCGTGGCTTGTTAGGTACATTTCTATGCGCTTGTTTTAGTCGCTAGACGCTTCGCCGTTCGCACCGCGCGAATATTCGTATCGGCGAATGTCCCGTGGCCAGGCTGTAAAACAGTTATTCTATTATTTGACAAACAGTCGATCGTTCAATATAATAATGCCACAGTGCATTAAACAAACCGTACTTCTATTTTATTCAGTGTGCTTAGTGCGAGTTTTTTAACGTTCTCGATAGAGTAAAAGTTAGCTCATATTTGTATGGAGTTCGAGCGTTTGCCTACGTTTGCCGCTAGGGGCGCTGTTCCAACTGCATACAAATTCGAGTTAATTTTTACGCTCTCGAGAACGTTAAAAAACTCGCACTAAGCAATCTGATTTTATCTTTTCGATTACGTGTATTGCGTCTTCGTTACTTTAATTCGCTACAAAAAAAATACAAAATATAGCAGTATGTATCTAAAATGAACGCTCTAATAATATTATCTTTAATTTCTACTCAGATATTACTTAACAGACCTAGGTAATTTTTTAATTGTAAAATAAATTTACTGAACCGAGCTACAGCTCTATAAACTAAATGTAAACAGAAGTCCGGTTTTCGCTTTTTCAGATTCTTGACAAAAGTTTGAATGTAAAGCTTTTCTGCCTGTATGGCTTTTAAAAATTGATCCGCTATTGTGTTTGCATCTACACGCTAATCTCCCCAATAACTGCAGGTACGGACATGGTTTTAAGTAGTGTGCTGTGTGCTCATCCTAAAATTTTATATTTAATTTTTTTTTACCTATCTAAGCTAATAGCCTTGAGAGGCTATATCAGCGTCGCCTTAACTAGTAGGTGAGCTCACGAGGCTCAAACCTGATGACGTTGCTAACACGAATCCTAGTAAGAGCCGTGCTTCGCAGAATCTACCACCGGATCGGAAACGCGACCCACTGAGAAGATCCGGCGAGAAACTCAGTTGGCTGTGCGTGTGTGTGTGGGTTAATTTACTCGTCGAGCCCTTCGTCGCAAGCGACGGTTTCGACGAAAACGATGACCGGTGCTTGAGGTACCTAATAGCACCGTTAGTGGATCGGGAGGATCCGAAATGACGTGTTTGGGGCGACGTCAACTGCTTTCCATTCTGTCCGCAGGATCGGGAATGTTATATTTCAAGATTCACATTAAATTATGGTCAAATATAATAAGGAAAAAATCCTTATTGAGTAATACAGATTATCTAATAAATAAATTGCGACGGGAGTATGTCGCCTATTGAATCTGTAATTGTAATAAAAGTATATTTTTGCAAGTTTGCGCGTTGCGAATTGCGGGCGCATTTCAATCACTAATTTATCTTTTAACATAAATAGGCACTTTGATCGGATGCATAATATTAATTTGTTTGATCAAGGTTCAATTCCCTTCACAAAACCTTTGTGCGCTTAATGTTATGTGCTACTTTGTAATATAAATTTTAATTCAATGTTACTTTGGACAGTTATAAATCCGATACTATTGTCAACTGAAAGGAAAATGTATGGAGGAGAATTATGAATTTTGTTCTGATATACATAAATGCATTTTGTTACTGCTTTAGATAGGATCACTAGCTCAAAGCTGGTTTTCAGTGGTTTACGGAACTCATAGATATAACTAGTGCAAAACATCAACAACTCCATTGTATTGTATAACGTTGTATTGTAATCGCGTGACTACTACGCGGTACGAATAGACCGTCGAGATTGTTACCTACACATGCGGGCTCAAAATATACCACTATAATAGAATACACTATTATAGAATATAATATAAATAAAGCAAAATTCGATTTTTATATTTGATTGTAATTCTTTATATCTGAAATTAAATTCAATTTTTCTTATCTGTCAACATGTTATTGTGTCAATAATTGGAATTAGTTTATTTAGTCTAGATTATCTTATATGAGTAATCTTAAATTATGTTGTTCCGAAACACCAGGTAAGCTAGCAGCCAATTAAAATTTTTTAAGTACAAAGTGTAATTATTTCGGTCATATTACGTAAAGAATAATGAGGGTTTTTTGTTTATAGAAAATGCTAGTGCCTATCTCCTTTTTGCTTCTTCTGGACTTTGCCTCAGGGGGATTAGTCGTTCGGGCTAGAGTATAAAGGAGTCGTTTAGTGGTTAGTTACGGCAATTCTACATACTACGTATCACAAGATCCCCGAGAAGACGTGCGAAAATTCAATCCAAAAAGATGGATTTGCGTGTCCAGTTACAACAAACCTATGAGTTCTGGATTGGAAAGCTCTTTTAGCTTCACCGACGTGCTGAGCCTCGAGTATGTACATATGTGTTAATTAACCCAATACGATATGCTTATTTATATAAAATTGTTTTATTATGATCTTAAAGTTGTACATGTTTGGGCTATTTATGTAAACTTTATTACGAGGAAGAGGAAGGCTTTTTAACATCGATTACTTTGATTTTTATAAATTAACAATATGTAACTATGTTAGTGTTCTTAATATTGGTTCGACCTTTGTTTGAGGTCGTCACGGATCGTGTACGATTTTCAATTACAATAAATTTATTGTTATTCGAAATAGATGAATTTGTTACTTCCCGTTTAATTTCTAATCAATGAACAAAAAGTCAATAGAGTACAATGCCTACATAATATAGTTGTCTATTATTTTCGATATTGGTTCAATATTTATTATAATATCTTATGCTCTTTATTATCTTTATGAGCTACGGTTTTCAGAGCTCTTTCTGCTCACTAATAAAATTACTTTATATATAGTATTTTGCTCACTATATAGTATTTTATATACACTATTCGTTGATGCAGGAGCAAACTTTAAAAAATTATCAGAATTGAAACTGGTCATAATTTTGTTAAAAAAAAAATTAAAGTTAAACGATACATATGGCAAGCTATCTAAGTATTATTATAGTTATTATATTATTATACTAGCTGACCCGGCAGACTTCGTAGTGCCTCAATCGAGAAATAAAAGACCTAAACTTTTGTATAAAATAAACATAAAACAAACCAAAGGAATCCGTCCGACGGGGGGACACATCAAAGGGAAAACAAAATCGTTATTTTTATTTATTTCCGAGCATTTTCATATTTATCTACCTTTTAAACCTTCTCTGGACTTCCACAAATAATTCAAGACAAAAATTAGCCAAATCGGTCCAGCCATTCTCGAGTTTTAGCGAGACTAACAAACAGCAATTCATTTTTATATATATAGATTACGACTATTATTATAGCGCGTCAAAAAAATAATCGTAGCTCTGCAGTCAGGAGCAAACAGTCAGGAGTTTGGAGTTAGATTACGTGGCTAGCTATATAACAAAGCTAATATGTGCGCACTGCTTACATAAGTCGCATTAGTAGCTCGAACAGCCAATGAGATTGTCCAAACCTAATTGGAAGTTTATTATGTGAGACGGTTTCTTTTCACGGCTTTGATTTTGTTACGCATTTTTCTTATAGGATTCATATCTCAGAAACATAGTTGAGTTCCGATTTGATTTCTGCTAAATTTTTATTATACGTATACAGTCTTATTGTCTTATTGGTGTCTCCGATATTATCATCGCCTATTGAAAAATTAATTCTTCATAAAATAATAATATAAATTTGAGATGTTGAAATGGTACTGAACCGAGCTATTATATACGAGTAGTATCGAGATATTTCGAATCTTAATATCTTATCACTTATTGACAATTAGTGTAGTGATTCAAAGTTAAAAATGAACTAAACATTATAATTTTATCAATATTATCATCGTATTTATCTATTTGTGTATTTTGCATTGTGTAAGTCTTGAAATTGGAAGACATGAAAAATCTGATCTGACAGGAGAAACCCTAATCTAGGTCGTCAAAGTAATTCTGCGACTACGAATATTTTTTTTATTTTTTATTTTTTTTTACTTCTTAGATGGGTGGACGAGCTCACAGTCCACCTGATGTTAAGTGGTTACTGGAGCCCATGGACATCTACAACGTAAATGCGCCACCCACCTTGAGATATAAGCTCTAAGGTCTCAAGTACAGTTACAACGGCTGCCCTACCCTTCAAACCGAAACGCATTATTGCTTCACGGCAGAAATAGGCAGGGTGGTGGTACCTACTCATAAGAGGTCCTACCACCAGTAAATATCGTAAGTACCAGTAAGTAGTAACGAAGCTTTGTTTTTGTAGTGCGCTCAGGTGGCCACGAATGTCGTCGAGCAGAAGCATCAGGTGTCCAGGGCCAAGAGGAGCAGAGCTCTTGGAAGCAGAGCCTTCAGGGGCAGCACCGTCTGGTTCACGGGGTTGAGCGGCGCTGGTAAAACCAGTATTGCCTTCGCTCTTGAAGCCTACTTGGTCTCCAAAGGTAATATTACCATTTAATCTAAAAAAAAAAACTACCTAAGCCGAGAGCCTTGAGAGGCTATATCAGCGTAACCTTAACCAGGATTTTAATCGGCTTAAATCCAATATACCACGTTTATCGCTCTCACAGCATGGGCGAAAGTCAGGGATTTTCCTTCAGACCCAAAGAAAAAGATAAGGTTTCGTAGCCATTAGAATAAGTGGACTTATTATTTCAATGTGCTCGTCTGTTAATTAAATCGTAAAAATATTTTGTAAAATATACGTTTCCAAAGTTGTGTACATTGTCCACTCTCCGTCTGTCTGCATATACTAAAATATCTAGGAAAAAAAATTGTGTTAAAAAATATGAGTTTCGATGAAAATTGATTTCAACAAGAAATTTGAGTAGTTTATACGTGATATTTCCATTTATACGATATAAAATATAGTCTTATGCAATAGCAAAAAGTGTCAGAAATATTAATTACTTTGGTTTTGAAATGTGAAAGTTCATCACGGCTACGGAACTCTTTACTGTGCGTAGTTCAACACTTCATGCCCGGTTTTGTTTGATCGGCATAACTGTGGACGTGTGTGCAATATTAAAAGAAAAAGCAATCGAATGTCAAACTATAAAAAGCTAGCAAATTACGTTACGTGGCTTAGCTGCAGATTTCTAACATCACGCGTCGCAGTTTGACTACCGCTGTCCGCAGCAACAACAGAACTGGGACGCCGCGCCGTAGAAAAAAATCGAAAAGTCTGCAAGTTCATTAACATTACCAATGACATAGTAGTAGGTAGGTACAACGGCCGCATATTTTGTTTACGTTACGTAATAATTTTATTAATGAACGTGTGTAACCTACATAAGGTAATTTAATAGCCGTCAGGTGATTATACATAAGCGATGTTGCGTAATCATTAACCCATCGGCAGCTCTATAATTACTATTGAACGTAAATGAAAACACAACGTTCATTGTATGTAGGGCAAGTTAGCATAACAATTTATCGATGTGAATAAATTACGAGTGTTTAATTTTATGTTTCTATGAACTTGACGCGTAACAAAGAAATCGTTTTACACTTAATTTACAATCGTTTTACACATCGTTCATCCATATTATCTGGAACCGTTGCGTTCATCGACAGTGCGTTTCCAAAGATCTTTTTTGCCACGTACCATCCGGCTTTGGAATGAGCTCTCCTCCACGGTGTTTTCCGAGCGCTATGACATGTCCTTCTTCAAACGAGGCTTGCGGAGAGTACTTTATGGTAGGCAGCGGCTTGGCTCTGCCCCTGGCATTGCTGACGTCCATGAGCGACGGTGACCACTTACCATCAGGTGGGCCGTATGCTCGTCTGCCTACAAAGGCAATTTTTTAGTAATACTGCGCACGGTATATTTTTATTTTGTTAGATTAAAACAATAGCAACGTCGGACATTGTTTAGTTCGATCGTTACTAAGAAATTTATAGTCTGATGTAATTGCGTGCGAAAGTATGAACTGTTTCGTGTCCTCACATTCTGAGCAATTAAGCGTCTGTAAATTAATTATTGTAAAAGTCACTCTTATTCAATTATGTAAAATGTACACGCACCGCCGTTAGTATAGAGATGTGGAGAAGCCTCGCATAAGCCGCAACCAAGGAATAAAGACAGCGCATAACTACTACCACTCCCCCAGGAACTACTTCTGAGAAGAAAAAATAGAATCGATGAGTTGAAGTTACCACCCGGTTTTCGCAGAGAATATGACAACACTAGACCGAAAAAAAACACATTGTAGTGTCAACTCATTAGATATTACTCAATATTGTTTAAATCTGTACTAATATCTAAATCTACAGTGGGTTTTTACGGATGTTCTGTTATAACTACTGAACCATGTATCCAATTGACTTGAAACTTGGTGTCCATGTAGAAAATACATGTACTTAATGGATAGGCTAATATTTATATGAGTGTTGAACTCCCTACACCAGTTGCAGGGGCGTTAATGATGAGAATCTTTGTGGGGCTGAGAAATAATAATGTTAATTTTAAATGCCCGGTGAAGCGGACGGGTACAGCTAGTTATCTATAAATTTAATTCATCATTGAAAGTAGACGATGATGTCTATAATTTTTTTTAACCAGGAATCCCGGCTTACGGCCTCGATGGAGACAATATCAGGACTGGTCTGAACAAAAACCTTGGTTTCACGAAGGAAGACCGCGAGGAGAACATACGGCGTGTTGCCGAAGTTGCCAAGCTGTTTGCAGACAGCGGCGTCGTTTGTCTGTGCAGTTTTGTGTCGCCATTCGCTGAGGTAATGTCCAATTATAACATGTCCTTCCTCAAACGAAGCTTGTGGAGAGTACTTAATGGTAGGCAGCGGCTTGGCTTTGCCCCTGGCATTGCTAAAGTCTACGGGCGACGGTAAACACTCACCATCAGGTAGGGAGTATATTCGTCTGCCTACAAGGGCAATAAAAAGAAGCCTTAAAAGCTGAATTTTACAGGTTTTTCTGTGAGCCTGTCATGCCTATGAGCCTTGGTAATGAATGAACACAAAGAATAACGGTCGTCCACGTCCCACCAGCACCTTTAATTTTATTTTTTATTGCTTAGTTGGGTGGACTAGCTCACAACCCACCTGGTGTTAAGTGGTCACTGGAGCCCATAGACATCTATAACGTAAATGCGCCACCCACCTTGAGATATAGTTCTAAGGTATCTCAGTATAGTTACAACGGCTGCCCCGCCCTTCAAACCGAAACGCATTGCTGCTTCACGGCAGAAATAGGCGGGGTGGTGGTGCGGACCCGTGCGGACTCATAAGAGGTCCTACCACCAGTGTAAATGTAATTAATTTTTTCTCTTCTTGATTCTTATTCTACGATGTTATTCGGTCATCGTGGAAGTAACTTGTGAACATCAATTATGTTATGTATTTAATTAAACAAAATGTTATGGACACCGGCAGTGCCGCATCGCTCAATACAAGTATACCGGGCGTCCTATCATTTAGGCGACAACGACTAATGACGCAGCTCATTAAAAACCATAAGTATTGGAGTAAAAGTTGAACTACTATATGTAGTAGTAAATCTATGGATTTCGTCACTAATTTTGATCAAATATAATATTATTATTACCTACATCAAGGAAAGTGTTAATTTGAAGCATGATTTTCAACAATGAAGATTCATTTTAACAGTCTTATCTTTTAGACCACGATGACGTCCAAGATGTGGTAAAGTGTGTCCCAATATTTACTTTTTCTTTCTCTACTGCTTAAAGACCCATACAAATACAAAAATAATCTGATATGATTCTTAAATATAGTTATCAATAGAGTCACACGCCATCAAACTGACAAAAAGTTTTCAACTGAATCCAAAGAAAAAGACTAGCGAACCCATTTTTATATTATTTTACTGTATAATATTTTAAATTATTATCCTACAAAGGTGGTACCTTATTTGTAAAATTAAATAGTACCTTATATGTAAAATTAAATTTGGGTAATGTTCATTATGTAGTTATTTGAATTAATGTTCGCTGTTTGCTCATGTGTTAATGGTGGAAATTTTGTTTGGTTTTTCTTGTAGTACTTACTATATAATAATATAATTAATGCATATTGTATTGTCATGTAAATTGTAGGAATTTGTTTCCAAAGAAATAAACAGGGCTGGATTTTTTTTGTATTAAAATGTTATTTTTGTAGGATTAAAAATTATTTTAACATGACATTATCTATATATTAATACGGGAAGCAAAAACTTTGTACCCCTTTTTACGAAAATTGCGCGGACGGAGGAGTATGAAATTTCCCACACTTATAGAGAATATAGAGAAGGAGTGCAGAATGTTAATATTTTTTAGAATTATGCCTAAAAAATACATTAAATCAATAAAGGAAACATTACACACACTACCATGTATTTGACGCAACACGCATGCATACTATTTATTTATTGTCAAACTTTTGTTCTTGACGTCTGTGATCAAATTGAGAATAGATTAAATAATGTTTGTCTTTATTAATATTTTTCTATAGTGTNAGAAGGAGTGCAGAATGTTAATATTTTTTAGAATTATGCCTAAAAAATACATTAAATCAATAAAGGAAACATTACACACACTACCATGTATTTGACGCAACACGCATGCATACTATTTATTTATTGTCAAACTTTTGTTCTTGACGTCTGTGATCAAATTGAGAATAGATTAAATAATGTTTGTCTTTATTAATATTTTTCTATAGTGTAGTCTTGGCGTTGAAAATACAATCATAATAGTGTACAAACTTACAATTCCAATTAATTATAGTCGAATTTCGACTACTGCGGGCCCTCTAGTTAGCTTTGTTATGTATGTTTGTTAGCGTGTAACTGAAAGTTTCAAAACAAAACGATATTTTTATAGGATCGTGAAGTGGCTCGTCGTATTCACACGGATTCCGACCTTCCGTTCTTCGAAGTGTTCATCGATACTCCTTTGGAGGTATGCGAACAGAGGGACACTAAAGGGCTTTATAAAAAAGCAAGAGACGGCCAGATTAAGGTAAGCCTATACACAGGTTTATTTTTTAATTGCCTAGGAAATAATATTGCCCGCTCACGTTCGTCAGCAAAGCCACTGTCTTCTTCTTCTAAACCCATTTCTGATTTTTTTATTAAACTTTTTAAGCATCTTAACAGTTACTTTAAAGGAATTAGCAGGAATCATATTACAAATTGTAAAACGTCTCGTTTTTCGCGATGTCAAACAAGAAAGAAATAATGTTTCCGGTTTTTGAAGAGTCCAGTAGAATTTACAAACAGTGTCAAAAATCTTCAGGCAATCTCATGTGTTTTTTAAAGCCACTAAAATATATATATACTAGGAATGTTTTTTAAAGTACATAAATAAATGAACGTACTTTTGTTTGCACAAGGAAAATATGTCATAATTTTTTCATGTAAAACTCTAGTGACAATTTTGATAAGGTTTAGCGATTGTGTATTTGAAAATCGACATTATTAAAAAAAATAATCGCAAATTTATTTTAACGACTGTGTTTGATTATCGAGTACGAAGTACACAAGTGGTAGTACTATTTATTGCATGCAGGCATACAAGGTATACATGTATTTCGTCGGAACGGGAAAAAATTCGAGAAGCTTCCAAGGTCTTCCGAGAATCTAGGCAGCTACGATAACAACGCCATGGAATGGTTGGTCCCCGTCCCCGGGGTTCTTGGCTATGACGACTTGTGAAACAATCATAGTGCAATACTTAATGAGATTCTAAAATTAAATATATTTCATGTGTCGTTCCATAAAGGTCTCGAATAAATTTTCCCGAACCTGAAATATGGTCTGAACATACCTTTAGCCGGTTGTCAGAGTATCGTACTATCTCCATAACGACAATAATCTCTCGGGATTTACTCATTTGTGGGCGCAAAGAAAATGATTTGAATATTTCGAAGGCTTGCAGTGCAAAAAAAAATCAGTCTATCAATTAATTAGTTTTGTTGAAAATGAAATTAGCGAAATTTTCATGATAAAACTATTATCCATGTCTGCCGTAAACCTTAAAATTTAAACTAGGATCTTACATAATAAAATGTTCAAAGTTTTTTTTTAATCGCTTACACAGGTAAACGAGATTAAGGTCCACCTGATGTGAAGCGGTTACCGGAACCTATAGACACACCACAACTCGAACGTCGCCACTCGCTTTGAGACTAGGACTGGTGTTCAATTGTATATTAATTACGTAAATTACAATGTTTACTGGCTTCGTTTTTAATTACACAACGTTATTCCTTCATCGTGACAATCTTAACGTGGTAACACTTGTTAAGTATGTATTTTATCAACACCACGGCTTTTGCCGAGCGGTATGACATGTCCTTCTTCAAACGAGGCTCGTGGAGAGTACTTAATGGTGGGCAGCGGCTTGGCTCTGCCTCTGGCATTGCTGACAACCCTGAGCGACGGTAACCACTCACCATCAGGTGGGCCGTATCCTCGTCTGTCTACACGGGCAATAACAAAATAGAATAAATAATTGTAAATAGACATGCTTTAACAAAAACCGACTTCAAATAGAAAAAAAGATATTCCAAAACAAATTAATATACACTAAAAACAATAATTATCGAAATCGGTTGGCGTGATTATATTGAGTTATTCAGTTATTCATCTATTTGTCGCGCACGTACTTAATGTAAATTTAAGACTGATATGGTTTCTCATGGATACCATTATCAGAACTGGACTAAATTGACCACACGGGAAGCGTCAGGTTTCTAATAAAAAATGAATCATCAAAATCGATTCACCCAGTCAAAAGTTATGAGGTAACAAACATAAAAAACAAAATACAGTCGAATTGAGAACCTCCTCCTTTTTTGAAGTCGGTAAAAATTGGAATCCGGGTTTGGAACACCGACACAGTCGCATAGATCGGTACGTGTAGTACGTATGACGTCTTATCCTTTTGGCCACGACGACATTGACACCTTAACCATCTGATGTCACGTGATGAGTTTCTCTGCCTAAATATAGTCAATTTGTGTTATTTTCCTTATTAAATCCGTTTAGGGTTTCACGGGAATAACCCAGGAGTATGAGCGTCCCGAAGCCCCCGAGCTGATCGTGTCCACCGTGGGACGGAGCATCGTGGAGTCCACAATGGACGTCATCCGACTTCTGGAATCCCAGGTAAGTGCAATCGAAGTTTCATAATACCGCACTAAGCCTTACGTTTTGTCATATAATGATTAACGAACCGCTTTCACCCACTGAGTTTCTCGCCGGATCTTCTCAGTGGGTCGCGATTCCGATCCGGCGGTTTTTTTTTTATTGCTTAGATGGTTGGACAAGCTCACAGCCCACCTTGTGTTAAGTGGTTACTGGAGCCCATAGACATCTACAACTTAAATGCGCCACCCACCTTGAGATATAAGTTCTAAGGTCTCAAGTAGTTACAACGGCTGCCCCACCCTTCAAACCGAAACGCATTACTGCTTCACGGCAGAAATAGGCAGGGTAGTGGTACTCACCCGTGCGGACTCACAAGAGGTCCTACCACCAGTAAGTTCAGCGAAGCACTGCTCTTGCTAGGGCTAGTGTTAGCAAATTCTATTAGGTTGAACCCGTGAGCTCATCTACTCGTCTGCGAGATCTGGAATATCCCCCTCCCAGCGAATAAGTAAGGGTAGGAGTAAGGGTAGTAATAGGATCCACTTTGAAAACGAATGGAAATATATCGCGTGCTACACGAACACGTTCTAAATCTATAAATTCAATTTAGTTGTTAATTGGATTGAGTTGTAATGTCACAATTTTTTTTTTATCTGGTGTGTAAATCAGACGATGAATTAATTAGCTACAGGTTAAGTTAATCCGGAGTAATTGTAAATCATTCACTCATCACACACTCACATCATTCAAAATCAATTGCTGACGGACCCAGTGATGGGGTAGTGTTCCTGATTCCTTATTAATGTTATTTCGGGAATATTGAATGTAAAAAAAGAAAGATGACATCAGAACTGTACACGTGCTATACACGCATTTCAAAATAATACAGGGCCCCCATGTCGCTTACTAATTATTTCTTTGTATTTCCCTATCAAGATCATCAAAGTGTATATATGTATGTTTAATTAAAAATAATAATATTGCCTTATAGTTAACATCTTATGAATACGTTATCGTCACATTACACTACGAAGTAATTAGATAAACTTTTCTTTGATTTTTTTTTATGATTAGAGTTGCGATCATATCATGTAAATTGCATTTAAACTTTACAATCATGTTGAAATTAAATACTAACATTAATGTAAATAATGAATAAACGCTGTTATACGCTGAAAGAGTTACATCGAATAATAATAATAATCATAATTAAATATGAGAAATTAAAATAAATTTAAAAACCGCAGTTATTGTGATACTGATCCTTATCAATACATACGTAGATACACTAGGAGTGGGTAATATCGGTTTTACCGCGTATCGAATTGTATCTATATATCGAGTATCAATATCGGATATTGAATCTATATATTTTCTGAATCTATATATTGATGAATGCTAGTAGATTTTCTCGATTCATGATATTTGAGATTTGAAACGATACGCTGATATTATAATATCGTAGTAGATATAGATTTAAGTCAACGTTATACGGTTGGTTTTCTGATATCAATTTATAATATGATTTTAAAGTAATAAAAAGAACATGAAAATAAAAATATCAAAAAAACTTTCCTTCATGCTTTTATCAGGCTCAGGACTGGCTGGCTACATTATTTTCAGTTTTTAGTATTTTGTGTCTTAATTTAAAATTACAAAATATACCAAAAAAGTGTAGATTTCAAAAGTTTAATACAAACACAAGAAATAAACTCAATTATTTGGATTCAACTAAAAATAGAAAAATGTGTACTTTAAAAATCAAACACAAAAAACTTTTAAGTATTTATAAACACTTGTCCAAAAATTCTAGTTCAAGGTCAAAGCGCGTGAAATTAAATTCAACGATGCAAATAGGCTATACTGCATTCAAGTTAGGGTCGAAAGTTGAAACTTCTTTCCTAAATTGTATCCTGCTGATACGCTAAGAATAATCTACAGACATATGGACTTAAATATAAGGTTTACAATTGTATGGATAATGCCTGTTTCTGTTTCATTCATCACATGATATCCCTATCGTGCGCTCACTCACTCTGGCCGATTCGATACGAACCAAACGAATATTGCTGATATTCACGAATCGGTACGATATGCCGATGCGCATCACATCGAGCAATATCGTGTATCGGCTGATATCGATATATAGATTTCGATTCACGAATCGGTACGATATGCCGATGCGCATCACATCGAGCAATATCGTGTATCGGCTGATATCGATATATAGATTTCGATTCACGAATCGGTACGATATGCCGATGCGCATCACATCGAGCAATATCGTGTATCGGCTGATATCGATATATAGATTTCGTGCGGGGCGATATCGGATTCAACGATATTGCTGCGATATATAGATATTGAATCTAGATACGATTTATATCACCCACTCCTAAGATACACACTTCCGCCGCCATGTATTTCTACTCTAAGGATCGGACAACCCTATACAATTGAAACTTGAACCTTATATCACAACAAAAATATATGAAGACCGAAGTCTGTTATTTTATCCTGATTTAAAGTCGCTCGCTCGCTTTCCCAGTCCAGAAAACACTATCCAATTCGAGTTTTGATTACCCTCTTTGATTGGTGCAATCTGAATTAAAACATGCAGAGTAATATTGTAAAAAAATTTAGTGCTGTTCATGTAAATGACCAATGAAATTAAATCGTATAGTTACTAGTTATATAAATTTTAATTTCTTCAAAAATTTTCCACTCGATTTGTTTTGTTAACTCACGCACTTTGCATAGCTTGTGTGCGTGTGAAAAAATTATATCAATATATCAAACCGTATGCCTCTAAAACATCTTATAATATTATTAAAAACACTTACCTAAATAACAAGGTCACAGAGCAAATTGAGCAAATTTGATATTAATTTCATTGCTTAACAAAAAAAATTATAATAAGCTTATCTTTCTTAGTCATAACTATGAGTTTCAACAGAGCATAGGTAATGTGTGTGACACACAGACACAACGTGCTTATGTAAGCTCCTAAGCTAAACTAAGCTTGGTTGGAGTGTCTTTGATTGTCGTTCACAGGGTATCATTCCGAGCCTCGAGAGCAACCGTTCTGGAGTTGAAGAGCTCTTCATCCACGGGAACAGGCTCACCAGCGCCATCGAGGAGGCGGCCCGGCTACCACAGATTGAACTGACGACACTCGATTTGCAATGGGTTCAGGTAAACCCAATATATTTATTAGTAAAACTCTAGAATTTTTTTTCCTACCTAAGCTGATGATAGCCTAGAGAGGCTATTTCAGCGTAACCTTAACTAGTAGGTGAGCTCTCGGGGTTCAAACCGGAGTGATGCTAACACTAACCCTAGCAAGAGCAGTGCTTCGCAGAATCTACCGACGGATCGGAAACGCGACCCACTGAGAAGATCCGGCGAGAAACTCAGTGGGCTGTGTCTAGAATTCCTAATGTCTCTCTGTATGTTGAAGAAAACTTCTCTTTTAATCATTGGCTCATTGCTGAGTGTCGTAACGCACCCCGCCTGAGCTATGATGAGCCTGATGAGGATTCAGTGTGTCTGTATATTAAAGAAAACTACTAAAAACAAAGAGTTGACTAAGTTATAAGTACATACTACAAAGACTACATATTCGAATTTCGAATCTAGAAATTTAACTGTAAGAGAGAGATAAAGAGACAGAGAAGTCAATATATACTAATACATGTCTCACTCAGTCTCATGCGCGTGGATAATGCCCTCGCGCTCTTACCCACAGAGGTATTAAATTGAATTTAGGGGATGTTTGGCCCTTTAAAGCGTCTGCAAAGCAATTCGGCCGACGGAAAGTGTCTGGGAGTATTAGCGATTTATTTTTAAGGATATTGCCTAAAATATACGTGAAAATCAGCTTTCAGAAAATACGTGAAGTAGGTCATGATTTTATGTACCTTGAGTACCTGATACCTGATAATTGGCCGTCTAAGCAAGCTAGCAGGTAGGCATGCGATCTTAGTACATACTAACACTACGCAATCTGGAGGCCCTGGGCTTCTTACTCTATAAGGATAGAAGATGATAGGCTGTCTGTCATCGTATTGCTGACCGCGGGCCTCATCCGCACGATATAAAGTGCAGTTGTTAATAAACTCTAGAGTTGGTAAATTTTATATTAAAATGTATGTGTCATTGCATTCGTAATTAATTACATGTATAATGTAGGACGTAGTATGTACGTTCATAACGTTAGTAAATATTATACTGAGTTTTTCTCTTATTTTAGGTTTTATCGGAAGGATGGGCGTATCCTTTAAAGGGATTTATGAGGGAAACCGAGTACTTACAGGTGAATTATTTATGAATTATTTTAATTTTGAATATGAATTATTTTGATTTTGATTATGAATTATTTATGAATTATATTAAACATGAATTATTTATTTACAAACGATAACATGCATATGATAAACTATGTGTATGTTTGTGATAGTGTATAGCCCGCTATAGCTGCTGATGTTTTTGTTTTCTGGCAGATAAAAATAGAAGAAATATAAGCTTAAGTTGTTGTTGTCTCTGGGCTCCGGTGACCACTTAACATCAGGTGGGCCGTGAGCTCGTCTACCCGTCTTAGCAATAAAAAAGATAGCCGGTAGTGATAGTACTGTGTTTTGTACTTTGTGTTTTTACTTTACTGATCTTTATGATCTCGTGTACAATGAAGTGTGAGTCAAGAAATAAAATTTAAATAAAATTTGTTCTTCCCTCTGTTTCACTAGTTTAAGTCACTCACTTAATAATTTGTAGTGTTTTATAACAATGAACACTATATGTTATGCTTTCATTTGTTTTATTTAATTTAGTGTTGCAACTTATGCGATATGAACTAGTGGGTGGAGTAAATAAATTAAAAAAAGAACGGTAGATAAAGATTTAATAAATAGTCGCTTTTACTCTCGGCTACACTAGAAACTAGTAACTTAATTTTGAACAAAAAAAAAGTTTTTTTTTTAAATCTTACATTTTTATAAACGTTTTTATAAATGTTCCACTGAAATGCATCGAAAAATTATGTAAATTCTGTCTCGACTTATACACGTTTAATCGTCCTAGAGGTCCTGCAGTAGTCGAAATTCGACTATAATTAATTGTAATTGTAAGTTTGTACACCATTATGATTATATTTTATACTTCTATAATCAAAATTTCGCCAAGACTACACTATAAAAAATATTAATAAAGACAAACAATATTTAATCTCAATTTGACAACAGACATCAAGAACAAATAAATAGTATGCATGCGTGTGTGCGTCAAATACATGGTACGTAGTGTGTGTAATGTTTTCTTTATTGATTTAATGTATCTTTTATGCATTATTTTAAAAAAATATTGGCATTGTGCACTTCTTCTCTATATTCTCTATAAGTGTGGAAAATTTCATACTCCTCCGTCCGCGCAATTTTCGTAAAAAGGGATACAAAGTTTTTGCTTCACGTATTAATATATAGATTAGTATAACGTGGAGTACAATGGAATTAACAATGTACATTCACCATATCAGAATATCATATCGGAATCGTCATGAACTTATTAAGATGAAGTTATTTCTTGGGAAATTTATTAATATATTCCTTTTAATATTGTATAAACTATTATATGTATATATTTATGTATTTATATATAGGTATATGTGATTGTCTATATATGTAAATATTTACTTTTTTGTGTATGTATTTGTAACTTAATATAAATTTCATTGCACCTACCACTGTTTACTCTGCACTACCTTTGGTTGACAGAGAATGCCTTAGGCATTAAGTCCGCCAATGTAAATTTTACATGAAGTGTAATAAATATATATCAGGCGCTTCATTCGAACTGCGTCACGCTGCCGGACGGGTCGCTGGTGAACCAGTCGGTGCCGGTGGTGTTGCCGGTGTCGGCCGAGCTGAAGGAGCGGCTGGCGGGTGCAGCGGCGGTGGCCCTTACGCGCGGCGGCCGGCCCCTCGCCGTGCTGCGCGGCCCCGAGTTCTACCCGCACCGAAAGGAGGAGCGGTGCTCGCGACAGTTCGGCATATACCACGCCGGACACCCCTACATCAAGGTAGGTAGGCGGCGACGGCGACCTCTACGACCCGCGGCACGGTGCCATGCCGGACTTAACGACCTAGAGCAGCGGTCGGGGAACCGGGGTAAATTACCCCAAATGGGGTAAAATGTAATTTTGGGGGGGTAAAAATGAAACTTTTGTGAGTAAAAAGTATATATTGAAGTGAAACTTCTTTAGAATTGTGATTTTTCAACTCGATGAAACGAAATGAAACGAAACGAAAAAATAAATCCATAGAGACACAAACACATTAATGTATAGGATTCAGCCGGCGAGAGAATGAGATAGAACACATTGTTTGGAAACACAAAGTTCACGTGATTGAGGTATTTTATTGTAGGCATCGTGTGCCGCGATTGGCTTGCCGCTATGTATTACTAGATATGACATCGATAATTTGAATAAATGATGTTTAAATTAAATTTTTAGTCATTGTTTTCTTTTCAAAATTATTATGGGCGTTCTAATATGAAAGATGCTAAAAAGAAGCAATTTCGTTTTTTTTTGTTCTTATTTACAAAAAAATTTTTTGGGGTAATAATTAAAAAAGTTCCATGACCGCTGACCTAGAGGTATGTCCGCTTACCCGACCTTCGAGACCGTCAAACTACACAAGATCACCCGCCAGGTCAATCGAAAGATAATTTCATCGTGTCGTCGCTGTCAAATCAAAATCTGCTTCGTGCAAAAACTCTTATTTTGAATTAACGAGTAAAAACATTTTCGTATAAAATTTTATATGAAGGTGAATTTTTAAGAAATATATCAAATGAAAGCTATAGATAAATATTAAAGCTATAGACACATAACAGTTTTTTTTATAATGTAGATAGGTAGAAGTGGGTAGTTAAAAATCGTCGTGACCTAAAGGTATAAAGAAGACGTCCGGTGCATTCGTATCTAGCGATGCAACGATGTTTGAATACGGCAGGCGGGTATCAATTTTTCTAATGAAATACGTACACAACAAATTTCACGATTGACTTCCACGATGAAGGAATAACATCATGTATTAAAAATCGAACCCTCAAAATTGTAATTTGCGTAATTGCGGGTGGTGGGACCTCTTGTGAGTCCGCACGGGTAGGTACCACCACCACACCTATTTCTACCGTGATAAAGTAATGCGTTTCGGTTTCAAAGGCAAGGCAGCCGTTTTAACTATACTGAGACCTTAGAACTCATACTCCAAGGTGGGTGGCGGCATTTACGTTGTAGATGTCTATGGGCTCTGGTAAACATCATGTGGACTATGAGCTTGTCCACCAACCTATGCCATAAAAAAAAAGGTGGCACCCCTACATCGGTCCTAGCCGAGTTCGCGATGTGCACTGTCAAAACAAATGCGTTCTACTCATTCCTATCTAGATGGACCTTAATCAATTTCAAAGTCTATCCGAACGCCCACCCTAAGATACGAGATGTAAGTCGTGGCCTGGTGTAGAGAGATACAATATTTTCTAAGTATGTACTAAACGTACGATTTGCACGTTCATACCCGATCCTGCGGACCGAATGGTAAACAGTCGACGTCGCCCTAAACACGTAATTTCGGACCCTCCCGATCCACTAACGGTGCTTTTAGGTACCTCAAGCACCGGTCATCGTTCTCGTCGAACCGGTCGCTTGCGACGTAGGGCTCGTATTAACTCATAGACACAGCCCACTGAGTTTCTCGCCGGATCTTCTCAGTGGGTTGCGTTTCCGATCCGGTAGTAGATTCTGCGAAGCACTGCTCTTGCTAGGGTTAGTGATAGCAACGTCGCCTGGTTAGAGCCCCGTGAGCTCACCTATTCGCCCGGTGTAGTATGACCCCTGGAGGTCGCTAGAATAGAAACTTTCACGGTGAAGGTACAACAAAGAGGGTATTGGAATTGCTCTGGGTTGATATTTCGAGCGAACTAGAGCTTTGTGATGTTTGTGGACTGCAAATACCACTTAACGATAACTGGATTGCGTAATCGTTGCTTGCGTGCCCTTTTCTAAATTAAATGTCACGTTTTTAAATCATTAGACAAAATGACTATGAGAAAAACGAACATGTTTGCAGATGATCAAAGACTCCGGTGACTGGCTGGTAGGCGGCACCCTGGAGGTGTTCGAGCGGATCCGTTGGAACGACGGCCTGGACTCGTACCGCCTCACCCCCAACGAGCTCAGACAGAAGTTCAAGGACCTGGGGGCTGACGCCGTGTTCGCGTTCCAGGTAACGATTAAAAACTGGCAACACTATGCCTATTCGTTTGGATTTATACTATAATAGATGCTCTATAAAGACTAGTGTTCGCTTTCTAGGTAACGATTATAGTAATCAAAACTGGCAACACTATGCCTAATCGTTCGAATTTGTGCTATCTATTAAGATGCTCTATAAACCCTATACTACTAAATCAACAATACAACATATCTTAGAAACCGGCATTAATTCATTCTCATTCCATCTCCTAAATCCGAAGGTTCTGTCTGTGGCGGGTAGCCATCATACAACGCAAGATAATTGACAGATGCCTGAATTTCGCTTACGACATTTTCAAGACAAGCTTGCATATATACAAGTTCCGAACAACAACATTCGGACCGTCGGTCTACCGAGCAAATATCTACCGCTCGGTGGAAGATCTTCTCCTTCGTCGTTTAAGCATCCGCAAACTGTCCAATCCTAAATCGATTTTTTTTGTTTTTCTAAATTTTAATAAGTGTAGTAGAATATGCCTTTTTTTTTAAACAGCTACGTTCATAAAAGTATTTTGTACAGTCAACAAAACAATATGATATTTTTGGGTACTGTATGTGATTTTTTCGTTTTTTAATTTCCAGTTGCGGAACCCGATCCACAACGGGCACGCGCTGCTGATGCAGGACACGCAGCGGCAACTGGTCGAGAGAGGATTCAAGAAACCCGTGCTCTTGTTACATCCGCTCGGTATGTTATTGTTACGAACTGGGGCTAGAAATAAATGAAAACTATTCACAGAGATGCTAATTTAAACTCAATTTAATTATTACGATAATTAAGGTCAAGTCAAGGTAACAAGTCACTTGTACGATTTCTTGTGGTGATGTCTACAATGTTTTAGAAACTCAGCGAACAAGTGAACAATTCTGTGATTTGTTTTATTTTTTTAATTTAGTTTTTATTTCATTTTAAATGTGTCATAACGGTGGTCTATTAAATGTTAAGCATCTGTAAAAGCCCAAAAATGTGGGTATATCGCCGCACGTATCTTCTCGGGTTCTTCCAAAAAGTCCACTGAAAAGTTACAGTTATTAACCACTATTTTACTGAGACTTTATTTCATCATTATCTCGTTTCATTAAATTCATCACAATTGATTAGAGCCTCAACTTTATCTATATCCTTATATAATTTTTCATATTATTATAACAGAATAAAAATACTTGGCTTTAAGATCTTATTGCCAGGGCGTAAATTAAAAAAATAATATTGCAGAACATAAGTTATTTCTGATCCTATGTCTGTGTTCTCTGCTTGACAACAGATGTCGTTATTCATGCCGCATATCATATACTACTGAATACTCAAGTTGCACTGTAACAGACAAAATTTTTTTTTGCTATCGCCCCCTAATGTTTTTGGCGGAAACTACAATTTTATATTAAATGTTACACAGGCGGTTGGACGAAAGACGACGACGTGCCTCTAGAAGTGAGAATAAAACAACACAAAGCCGTGCTAAAGGAGGGAGTATTGGATCCTAACTCCACTGTCCTGGCCATTTTCCCGTCCCCTATGATGTACGCCGGACCCACTGAGGTAAATACACTTTAATCCGTAGCTAGTTTGTTGTAAGAGTCGTGTACACAGTGTGGAGAGAACAGCCAGCAGAGATGATGCCACAAACCGCGTTGAAATTGGCCGCAATACGGTGCTATGTACCTTTCCATGTATATATCATTTAAAAGGATTTATCATTCATTCCATTAAATAAGCTATACCAGTACATTTTATTCAACCAATAAGTCAAATTTTTTCAAAGGCAAAAGCAAGAGCAAAATTAATATCAATTTCAAGAGCAAAATGGTACAAATAAAAAATACTTTAAAGTTCAAAGATTTTTTTAATTCACAAATCCGATTGTGTTTTTTATTCCTAATAAGATATGAATCATTTTCCTATGCAGTATTTTCATATTTTATTTATTGTTTATGTGGGTGGACGAGCTTACGGCCCACTTGGTGTTAAGCGGTTACCGGAGCTCATAGACATCTAAAACATAAATGCGGCCACCTACCTTGAGATATAAGTTCTAAGGTCTCAATATAGTCACTACAACTGCCCACCTTTCAAACCAAAACGCATTGCTGCTTCACGGCAGAAATAGGCAGGTTGGTGGTACCTACCCGTGCGGACTCACAAGACGTCCTACTACCAGTAATATATATTTGCAAGTATTTTTTGGTCGTACCAGGGCGCGGTACTTCGTCGTGTAGAGCTGGTAGCGTAAATACGCCTCATGTCTATTGCAGGTGCAGTGGCACGCCAAGTGTCGCATGAACGCCGGCGCCAACCACTACATAGTGGGGCGCGACCCGGCCGGCCTGCCGCACCCGCGCGGCGACGGCGACCTGTACGACCCGCGGCACGGCGCCATGCTGCTCAAGGTCGCGCCCGGACTCAACGACCTGGAGGTACGGCCGCATACCCGACCTTCGAGACCGTCACCATACTTCTAATTACATCAGCTATCTGCCAGTGAAAGTCTCGTCAAAATCGGTCCGTTCCAGAGTTAGCCGGAACAAATAGACAAAAATTGTAAAAAATGTTCTTCAATTTTATTTATTTGTATAGACTTGTTTCATAGGTGAACATGTGTTTAATGTATCACGAGCGCCGGAAACCATTCAACATCAGACTCCACTAGTGTTTCTTGACCTTCGAAAGAAAAATAAATAAAAAATAAAAAAAATTTAATCCACAAGACGCGCTAGCCGTTAAACCGTTCAGAATTCAATTTCATATAATTCTCTCGCAGGTCAAATCTCTTAGTAGTTCTATGCTTATCTCTTTTTAGTGTCGCGTTTTCGTTTCATTAGATTTTAAATCGCAGCGGAACTAGAAAAGTGTTAGGCCTTGTCCGCACCGCGATATTTCACCGCACGTTTTTTTTTTCTTGTAATTCTGTAACACCATTTAATCCTACAGTAGTAGCCATACTGGCAGTAAAAAAATCGTGCGGGAAAAAATCTGTGATTTGATGCAATCTTGAATGCAAAGCGGTGCGATTTATTTCCGCGCGAATATTTTGTACCCTATAAAGTGAGTGTGGCTATGTTTACAATGCGGAATAAAATTCGCGCGTTTCGCTCAGTTTCATGGGTCTCAATGCCGCAAGGGGTGAATCCAATATTCATGACATCTTTTGATACGTCTATTACGCCGCCTTAGTATTAGATAAATTAAAATTTTAGTTCGGCTGTTCATTTTACGCGTGCGTCTTAGCCGAGAACTGAATTAAACTGACCAAAATAATACGAAATTTTATTCGCAGTGCGCATACTAGGTGTAATTAAGATCGCGGAATTTAATACGCGAGGTATAAAAACCTCGCGGTGAAATATCGCTGTGTCGAACCCGTCGCTTGCGATGAAGGACTCGACGAGTGAATTAACCCACAGACACAGCCCACTGAGTTTCTCGCCGGATCTTCTCAGTGGGTCGCGTTTCCGATCCGGTGGTAGATTCTGCGAAGCACTGCTTTTGCTAGGGCTAGTGTTTGTAATACTCCCGGTTTGAGCCCCGTGAGCTCACCTACATGTCAAGGAGAAGCTGAAATAGCCTCTCAAGGCTATCAGCATAGGTAGGACATAAACGAGTCGCGTGTGTTATTGTGATTCCAGATAATTCCGTTCCGCGTGGCCGCCTACGACACGTCGGTGGGTAAGATGGCGTTCTTCGACCCAACGCGCAAAGAGGACTTCGACTTCATATCCGGAACGAGGATGAGAGGTAACTTGGTGCTTACACGACCAGACCCGTCAGCTGATTTACAGCGCTGACTGAAAGATGTCGTACCATTTTGTAAAGGAAGACAATTCAAGAACGTGTCGAGGGGTTCACCCATATCAAATAGCCTTTGGCCAAGGCTATTTCGTTTAAGCGATCTTTTTGCTCCTTTACAGGAGAACTATTTAAAATTACAAATTTGGTTCGAATTTCAAGCGGGTACCAATTTTTATAATGAAATACGTACTCAACAAATGTTCACGATTGACTTGCACGGTGAAGGAATAACATCGTGTAATAAAAGTGAAACCCGCAAAATTATAATTTGCGTAATTACTGGTGGTCGGACCTCTTGTGAGTCCGCGCGGGTAGGTACCACCACCCTGCCTATTTCTGCCGTGAAGCAGTAATGCGTTTCGGTTTGAAGGGTGGGGCAGTCGTTGTAACTATACTTGAGACCTTAGAACTTATATCTCAAGGTGGGTGGTGCATTTACGTTCTGGATGTCTATGGGCTTCAGTAACCACTTAACACCAGGTGGGCTGTGAGCGCGTCCACCCATCTAAGCAATAAAAAAATGACCTTTTTTTTAAGGCTGGGGAATCCATTTACGAGGGGGGGGGAATGAATCCTGACAAAAAAACTCAGCTATTTCAATGGAGTAAACTCAGTTGAAGTTAAATTAAAAACATCGAGCTGTTGATGCTGATACCAAATAAAACTCATCTTTAATCACAAAGATAAATGCCGCGTATTGAGCGAAATATCGCTTATACCAAATAGCCTATCACCCCCCGATATCATGAAAGATAACGACGACGTTTAGCGTTTCCTATTGGCACTGATAAGCAAATCTTTATACTAGCCTGATTTAAGCCACGGAGTAATAGTGCATTTGAATTCTGAAGATGAAGCAAGCAAGCGAGATGGCCGACGGCTGCTCTCGATACAATAAAGGTCGGTTCACACGGACCGGCTCGCAGAGGAGAGCAGATTTTTATCACGGTGGAAATAGAGTTTTGAGTAATTGTAGTAAAGTTTATTATTGCATTTGTGCACTTTTTTTGTCATTAAGAATGCTTGAACGCGCTGCGTGTGAAATAATAAGAGGAGCCGACCGGGTCCGATTGCGCGCTCTTTCTCGCTCGCGCAGCCGATCGGCTCGGATTGCGTGCGCATCCGCTTTGAGATCTCTTGAGAAAAAACCGGGCCGATGCCCTCCGATCCGGTGTGTGAAAGGACCCTAAATGTGGGAGTGGTCTGTGGGAGTCTATTGTCTGTTCGTTCGCAGGGCTCGCGAAGGCCGGCAAGGAGCCTCCGAGGGGCTTCATGGCGCCGACCGCCTGGAACGTTCTCGCCGAGTACTACCAGTCGATGAAATCCAAAATGGATACGAATTAACGCACGAAAACAAATATGTAGTTCATAAGATGATCCCCCGTTGATCCGTGAAATCGCGGATAGTAAAAACAGAATTAACAAAAGGCGCTCTCTGATCACGATTTGAAATGAACTTTGTATCGGCTTAGCGGCCTTAACATAAAGGTGAAAATCGCATATCACTAATTTTGCGACTTGGCTTGATTATACGTTGAATGTCAATTTAATTTACCAAAAATGGTATCATTGAAGATTTGAAGTACTTCGTGATTCTGAGATTTGGAAAGTACAAACAATTGGAATTGTTTTTATTTTTCTTCTGTACTAACAATAGTTTGTGGTTTTCAATTCATAACTACGTCACGTAATAAATAGATATTTACTTTTAGTTTTAATTTCGCTTTTTTTTTATTGTGGTTATGCTATTTTATTATTCATCTCGAATGCTTTATAGTCTACGTGACCACATCAGAATCATAGTTGTATTTACCACTAGCGGAAATCTAAGAAAGTATTATGTTAAAATATTTACTATTTTATATAATATATTAACATAATAATTAATATTTATATTAATAATTAATATTAGAGAAAAAAATTACGTTCGGTTCATTTTGTGATTAGACAGCGCCTCAATTGATTCATTAAAAAACTTTATCAAAATGATATTATTCGGCTGTTTTGCATTAGTCATTACACATTTTAATTTATTGTATATTATATGTCGATCACTTCTACGATTTCAGTATTGAATATAGAAGCCAATGTTATTATATAGAGTATACGGTGAAATTTATTGATACACACATTTGTAATCAAGTATTTTAGGAGATTAAACCAAACCCAAAGCGTTTGTGTGATCTAAGCTATAATTATATTATATTTTATATTGAAAACTTGAATATGGGGTAGTGTACTGCTTTTTTTTTTTTCGATATTATAGAATACTATACATATTCTAATTTTATTTAATGTTTGCTTATATAGCAATAAAATACTAGAAGTTTTTAACATAACAACGGTTTATGTCTTCTTAGAAGATTTGAGGCCGCCAGCGCAAAAGTCGCCTAAGCCACAATTTTTCATATTCGTGCAATATTGTAATTTATTAAAAACATAATAAATTTTGATGCAAAACCGGGCAATCCGTAGTTTTACCCATAGATAACAGATGGCTTTGTAAACATTATTTTTGCGCGCATTGTATTTGCCTACGAAACAGTGTAAAAGTAAATTAAAACCTCATTATCTCCATACTATGGATATGCCTAGGCCACTTCTGTGCTAACCGCCTTATTGTAGTCCACAAAGATACCGTCACAAGAGCACACGCTCTAAACTTAAGCTGCGTTGAAAAAGGCGAAGAAAGATGCGCGTGTCCTCATCGAATAATAATTATTATCTATATTAGAACGAATTTAAAAGAGGCTATTGCCACACCACATAGATATCGGACCTTATCTCAAGTCATATACGTCAAAGATTTATTAGTGGTAATGCTCCGAACTAAATTTACTTGCGGGGTTGCCATACAACCCTATTTCCCCTACTCGATAGAAAACTTATTGAGACTGGTTGGTAGGACCTCTTGTGAGTCCGCACGGGTAGGTACCACCTCCCCGCCTATTTCTGCCGTGAAGCAGTAATGCGTTTCGGTTTGAAGGGCGGGGCAGCCGCTGTAACTATAATGAGACCTTAGAACTCATATCTCAAGGTGGGTGGCGGCGTTGACGTTGTAGATGTCTATGGGCTTCAGTAACCACTTACACCAGCTCGTCCAACCATCTAAGCAATAAAAAAAAACACAATATAGTATTGATAATGAAGTAAAACTGAATCGTGCTAACGACATTGCCAGTGCCCATGATTGATGGTAATCACTCGCCATTAGATAGGCCGTATGCTTTCTCCTTCCCTCTCTCGATACCTACGGTTAATTTTGCTAACGCCTAACCCGGTTCCCTGTGACTCACAATATATAACATGCGATGCAAACGTTTCTTGACATTTTCATTCGCACGTTCCTACGCTGGTGGTACAATAATGGAAACCTTCCCTGAAATGTCAATAACAACTGTCCAAAATTTGATCTCATGCGGTTTATGCACAAGCAATTACACACAAATATAAAAAAAATATTTAAATTGAGCGCGTTGAATCGGCCCATTGCAATCCATTCGGTAATGAATCGAACAAGAATGTGAATGAAATAAAAATCTCGATTTCACTATGTGATTATTCGTGTTCGCTACTTAAAACTCGGGTTTGGGGCGACGGAGAGTTATCGGTACATCTAGTTATTTGCTAATGTAATATAATACTATAACGTTATCTTAAGCAAATAATAATGGAATAAAAACATCATAGATATGCTCGTCATTTCAGTTCGAATTTCGTAAAACACGATCAGTGAACGCAGTGTATGAGACCGTTGAACTCGTATGTCGGTCGATGGTAAATTTGTATTCCATTGCGTGCAGTGTAAATACTAACACGACCTTCGGTTTCGGGAACGGTTTTTTACTCTCGGTATGTGAAGAAGACGGTTTATAGAAGAAATGAAAAACGAAAAAAAAAACAGTAGATTTTAAACTCAAGTACTAGGTACAGTTGAAAATACAAGTACAATATTATCGCTAGTTTTAATCCTTAAATTCAGTCGGATTGTTACGCATTCTGAAAAGAAGTTTATCTATTAATCGCGAAAAGGTTTTACGAATTCTAAAAAATAGTATTGTAAATATAAAATTTTAGAAGTTCTTCCTGTTAATAAATTATAAGGTACATAGTGTTTAATCACTGCAATATTTGTGAATGAAATCTGATTTGTTTAACATTCCTGTTGACTATTGTACTCGTAAGATTATTTGTTAAACTAAGCATTCCTACGAAATGTTTTTGTGCAATTTATTTTGATATTATTTTGCTTTGATATACATATATATTTTTTGTATGTATGTATGTATGTATGTATGTATGTACTATAAACAATTCTACAACATATTGTTAAGTGTGGTGGGACACTTATTTGAGTATTTTAATTTACGATTTGTTAAAATAAATTATGGTGCTTGTAAAGCTGTATTTAATATTTTAAAATAAACGACTTAAATTTAAACGGGTTTTGTTATTTTTAGGTTAACTTAAACATTTATTTTAAGATCGATTCACAATATCGATAATCGAGAAACGAAAGAAAAACATAATTACTTGAGGATTGTTCGCTCCTAAGGAAATTGGAGAACATTTCTGTAATATATTCGAACATGGTTAACTGTATTAACGTCGTCTATGGATATTATGAACGCTACAATCGCACAAAAGCTCTTACACGTCGAAGAGGCTTTAAGGGTCCGTTCACACAGACCGGCTCGGAGAGCAGAGCAGATTTTTATCACGTTGGAAACAGAGTTTTGAGTAATTTTAATAAAGTTTATTTTTTCATGTGCACTTTAATACGCTTTTATTAGCTTCAGACGTTGGTATGTATGTTTGTAACGGAATCTTTGAACATGATTTTGACCCCCTTCAAAACGTCGGATTAACTCGAAAGGTATACTTAGGACCGATGAAAATTCAATATTTAAAAAAAAAAATTTGAAGAAAATTAAATTCAACTAAAAATGAAAAAAAAATAGTTTAACAAAAATAACGAAATACGTTTTTATAGAAAATCCAACTAAGAAATAGAAAATAAATTTTAATAAATTTGAATTAAAAATAGTGTAAGAAAAAAGGATCTTATTGTAAAAAAGCGTGTGGTGCTTTTCAGGATATTATCAAAATAACCCTTTTACTCGTATCTGTTCATAAAATATTTATAACTACTGATACCATGCACCCCACGCTTTTTATACAATAAAATATATATTTTCTTACACAATTTTTAATTCAAATTTATTAAAATTTATTTTAAATTTTTTAGTTGGATTTTCTATAAAATCGTATTTTGTTAGTTATTTTAAACTATTATTTATTTGTCATTATAAATGTTTGAACGCGCTCCGTGTGAAATAATAAAAGCAGCCGACCGAGTCCGATTGCGCGCTCTTTCTCGCTCGCATAGCCGATTGGCTCTGATTGCGTGCGCATCCGCTTTCAGATCTCTTCCAGCCGGTCTATGTGAGATAGTTGGCGGCTTCGCTAGAAGTAATAGTGTTCTGTGGTTGGCGGCTCCGCTCCGGCCAACTCGGAACGTACGATCAATACGATCCGGTCTGTGTGAAAAGAAAAAAGCGGGCCGATGCTCTCCGAGCCAGTCTGTGTGAACGGACCCTAAAATTAAATATAGCTGGAAGAATGGCATGACGCTTGCAATAATCCCGGGGGGGAGTTTATTTCAAAACAGGATAATAAGTACATGCCCACAACGTTATCTGGAAATGAAAGAAGTCAACAGTTCTAGGTAGTAAGAATGAAATTTGCCCTTGTGCCCTTGCGAGTGGTGCGATAGTAATAACAAGATAACGGAATAATTAAAAAACATTTTTTTATAGTATATCTATGTACAACGTAAATGCCGCCACACACCTTGAGACATGAGTTCTGAGTCTCAATTTTATAGTACTTACAACGGCTGCCCCACTTTTCAAACCGAAGCATTAAGCACATATCTCAAAATTTCTTATTACTTTCGAACTTGACAACCGTGTAGTTGCATAGGGAATGTTATCATAGAATCAATGTGGTACTTAATTATCACAAAAAATATTGGAAACAAGCAAAAATCGACTTTATTATTGATAACTCAAGTTCAACGAATGTTCATTATCATAGAATGTTAATCAATGTGGTACCTAATTATCACAAAAAATATTGGAAACAAGCAAAAATCGACTTTATTACTGGTAACTCAAGCTCAATCTTAAATACTTTACGTTCGATCTGATAGCGCTCAGTATTATAAACATCAGTTCAACTCGTACATTTGCGTTATTCAGTTCACAAAATGGTTGTTAGGTTGTGTGTGAGACGCTTGCTAAGGAAAACCGCGAATAAAACCGGTCATCGATGCATCTCGCATTATCCCATTGACGATCATGTGTTTGGACTCTCCGAAGAACAACAACAGGTAAGAGGTAACAGACATGTCTTGGACAATGTACAAATTATATTTTGATATTACAAGTTTTTCTTACAAAAAACGTAATCACCAGGTAAAACAATTTGTTATTGAGAAATATTGATTTTATTGTTTGAAAGTCAACGAGTACGCGATAAGCAGTTAATCGGTATAAAAATAATAGGAATTTTCGTACGAACATATTAATACATATAATGCAGATGTGTTTGAATCTGAATGACGAAACACTTTACATATGTGGCTGTTGTGAATTTGAATGAAAATAAATAACAACCGTTACAATTCAGAGTTGTACAGTTTATTGAAATTGAATTTTAGCCTCAATGAAACAACGGAAATCCCTTAAAAATTTTTTCTCTCGAAGACACGCTAGCCTACCGCCGACTTGACAGTACATGATCAATGTCGCTTAAGGCTCAATAATTTCATAGGCACAACGAGCACATAAATCCTCAACTTTTTTATTGCATAGACCGGTGAAGAAGCTCACGGCACACTTGGTATTAAGTG